GTAGTAGAACAAAATTACACATTTGTTGGTTCATGATACCATGACGAACAAATAATGAAACCCATGTGGAGATGGGCAGAACATTAGCTTTTAGCTCTCATATGCCATATGAAGCAAGGCCTATATGTATATCTCCAGCAATCATAGTATCCATCCTACTAAAAGTATCCAAAATTTCGATGCGTTCATTCTCTTAATGAAGACACACGGCCCATGTGCTCGGAGAAACCATAACTCCTGTTAGTTTAAACAGGGGAATGTGTCGTTCATTAACAGGACATTTGCGTGTACATGATTACTGAACTCCTCAAAGGAGAAGAGATCAGCAACCTGAGCTTGCAAAGATTTATTGAGTATGGCAAACTTAAACTTAGTACAGTTAGGCGAAGATGGAGTTTAGTTGGTTCTAGCCTGGACCAGATTTGACCAGAACTAAGGGAAATCCCCAGCATCACGCGTGACCTGATTGAAGTTTCTTTGTATTTGGATCCAATCATGAACAGATTGCATCAAAACTCCAAATTTGATTTTATACTTGGGTTAATTGCGGATAGATCCCCTTTACTATAACCAATTGAGGATGGACCCTCTTGGTACTATTTTTGTTGATGTAGATAGGTCCCCATCCCCTTGTACTAGCGCCCAATTGAGGATGGACGCCCTGGAGTTCTATTGTTGTAGACAGACTCCCTAAGTAAAAAAATTTTTGACTCTCTCACTCTCACAGAGAAAGAGAAAATTAAAATTTGCCAAATAGCATTGAGGGTAAAAGAGTAAAATGGATTCACCAAGAGGTCTACCCGCAATGCGGCAATAGTTAAGAGAGTCTATCCAAATTAAACCCCCTATTCTTGAACATGCTCTTGCAGATTGAAGCTTTTTTCATGAGCTGAAATATGAGCTTTCTATGTAGTCTTATACTTTGTTAACCGGTTTTAAACATGCGTCTCGGTGAAATTTGAGTATGGGTTATTCTAATATCATCTTAAAGTATCTTCCATTGTAACTTCGATTTTTTTAATGGAAAAAGAGGGTCTTTGAACATATTATTGTAAAAATGAAAGAAAAGAGTACAAAAGTGGAGCAAAACTCGAAGTTGTGACGAGGATTTAGGATTATAATTGATACTCCGAAACACTCCAGTTCAGACAGTTCCCGTCATAGGTTTGTCTTGTACTTAAATAATGTCCTACTATGAAACTTCACTCTAAATTAAGGCCCATCTTAGTATCCAGGAACTTTGATTTAACGCTAATTAATACCCGAATCTTCTCCAAATAATTATATACGTACCTGGAAAAGAGAGGATCCTATGGCCATGTGCATGGGTCGCAGCGAGCAGAAAGCTAACCTCCAAATTCAATGAACGTGACTGGTTTCATGCTATAATTATGCAATGCTACTGTTTAAACATACACTTAAAAACTAATTATTTTTCAAGAGTGAAGGGGAAGTCTCTGATAGTGAGCATCCACAGAATAAATTTTCAATAGAGAAAAATAGAAGGTCTAAATTTGGAAAAGAGCATATCGCATTGCGTATATTTTGAATAACTAAGATCACCTACTATAACTAGGGATGTATAGAAAAAAGAGTTCGAAATTATGCAGACGGCCTAACACTAATATTACAAAACATGCTGATAAAACCCATCGAGAAATTTTGTATACAGTGAATTACACTGGAATATATTTCTATTATAGAAAAACATAATTCTACTCATAAAAATGAAAACTCAAAAGTAAAATGCACGGGAAATTTTTTTGCCTTGTGGCTCTACTGAAACTGCGTTTTCTCCTAAGTTTGAGAATGATTGTAGCTTTTCTTGAATAACAATTTGCTGGACATCCAAAATGTAAGGAGGCAAGTTGTGCGTGATTGATTTATCTTTCATGTGCCCTACTAAGTCGAAGTAATATAAGCCGAAGTTTCTCTTGACTGTCACATTCCCCTATCAATTTAAGTAGGTGATATTGTCATGATTTTTTACTTATTTGGACAAATTTTCTCTTTAAAAAAAATTCTTATTTGGACAAATAACAAACAGTATATATCATCTTATTCTGCCCTTGATACCACATTATAGAGTTCGAAATAAAATCTCTTTTTAACTCATTTGAGTCTGCATTTAAGTATCTTCGACTAACGGAATGTTATGAATTCAGGGTTAAATTTTGATCTGTTGTATGCCCAACTTCAATCATTGATACTGGTGATACCAATCTGACACAAAAAAACAATCAAGCCCTATATATCTTGTTTTCTTTGAAATTACTGACTACTGATAATGAAGTGAAAACTAAGCACATGGTCAAAGGACCATATCCCATCTAAAGATGGCACCCACAGCCCACCTCCTTTTGTCTCTATTTTGTTTCTCCTGTTTTTTGCACTGTCGGCCTCCATTTGCCTTTTCCTTCTTTCCCTTCAGTAATTCTCAAGGACAGTATTCTTCACTTATTTTTTGGGCTACATTACCAAATTGGTATTTTTTATAACCCTCTTAACCGGTTTGGTGTTAAAAAAATTTCCCGCATCTTTTTGGTATTATAAAAGTCAACCAAAGAGCACTTAGACCTGTTTTTACCCCGTCAACCAAATTTTGCGAGTGTAACTAGCACATTACCTTACGCGATACCCTAACATAGTCACGTCATCTAAAACCAGTCGCCTCAGCCTTCTAACATTCCTAAAATTATATCACACTGAGATCACTTGCTACTTATACGTGCAAAACTTGACCGGCGGGAAAAATTGGTCTAAGTGCCCTTTTGGTTGATTTTTAATAAAAAAATCGGCAGAGAAACTTCTAATACCAAACCCCTTAGGGAGTTACAAAAGATGCCATTTTGGTAATTTTGCCCTTCGTTTTGGAAGAACTATTTGATATTTGGTATTTTTGTGCAAATATTTTTACCACTACTTGTGGACTCAGATTTTATTAGCAAAGATGAAAAATAACAAGCATTAGCTAATGCAGTCTCTTTTAAGGGCTACAAATTCCCTAAAAACTAATTAAGACATGACCAAAACTACCACAATAGGGACTGTAATTTGTAGGCTGTAACATAGCTTTCTAAGAGGCTGTGGCCTCAAGACAGCATGATCGATGTTTTGTACGCTAAGGATCCTACAAGATACTGTTGATTGCAAGGAACAGAAACAAATAAATCTCCTTTCAAGTCCTATGTATATATATATATATATTATATAATATATATATATATATATATATATATATACTATATATACTATATATATATATATATATATATATATATATATTATATATATATATATATATATAATTATATGTGTGTGTGTGTGTGTGTGTGTGCTGTGTGTGTGTTGTGGATGTGTATCACTGTCCATAGTACGTAAGAGAATATTGGTAGGTAACCCATCTATTTTGATACTAGCGCACGTGCTTGTCTTGTTTGTGCCTGATTCATCTCTCTTGGCTACGAAAGTGGTCACTGAGAAATCAATATTTGCTGAGAACCTTGCAAATGCATACACACAAATATTGGGAACATCTAGTGCTAGCATGATCATGGCAAGTGTAACTCACGGATGCAGTTAGTGCAAATTATTTAGAATAGCTGAGTATATCATTTTGCTATGTGCCACCCTGGAAATTGTAATCTGAAAGTAAAATTATTTGCGCAATTTCGAGTTGGGCATGTAGTTCGATTAGGATTAGGAATAGGACTGTTGCTCACTGTGATATTTTAGTTGAGGTTTCTATATTAGAATCTACATTGTCCTTCACCATGACTCAACATCAAAATTCTTCGAAGTAACAAATAAACTGTTCTCAAGGTATTGCAGAAGAGAGAGAATTATGTTCCGTAGATGATTTTTTTAAAACTTTTAACTTATTTAGGATGTGATTGCATTTTTAGTTTATGACCAAATCGAAGAAAAATTATTTCATTTTAACGGAAGACATTGCCATTGACATGTTCGATGAATTAGGAGTAGGACAATCTGATCAAATATCCAAGTCTTTGTCTATTATGTTTTCAGACTTATAAGGGTCTGTTAAGATGCATGATGTCAAATAAAGCTACGGCCATTTTCCCTTAAAAAAAAAAAGAAAAAAAGAAGATGCATGATGTCGTAACAATTTTTAATATGCTGAAGAATATAAGTTTTGGCTCGGACTAAAAAGTTTGGTAACTTGATGTTTTGGTTTTATTCATTCTATAATTTTACCTGTCAATAAGGTTTTTCGTATTTAAAATTTAAGGATTCTGTGATATAGATTTTTTTTTCATATTCATGGTTAGAAATGTATAGATACATTTTTGTGATATTCATGGTTAAAATAGACAGTTTGTATTTTGTTTTGGGGAATAGAATTATGTTACTTGTTTCTTTGCTCAAAACCTCAAACCGATCAATCTTTTGACTCCCCCCCCCCCACCCCAACTCTATACTTTTGGAACTATCGAGTATGATAAATATGAAATGCTCTTTCATAGAATCAATTTCACATCCTTTACTTCAGACCTTCAAGTTTCATATCATCTTTTTAATGAAGAGTTTCTGTTTGGTGTACTGCATACACAAGAGATAGTTAATGAGCAAAGAACACTCTGAATAGTTCTGTCACAACTAAAGGTCATGTAGTACAACAAAACTTTAGCCCCATCTAATTAGCTCAGCTCAAGGTTCGTCATCCATGCAAATGGAATGAAGTACTGATCAATAGAGGAAACATGATTATAAAGAAATTCTCTTTTTAGTCTTGACTCCAATTGGTACGAATTCAGTTTTATAAGTAAACGTCAGAATATCTTTAACTAACATCATTTTTCAGCCAGCGACACAAGTTTTCAGCTCAGCTTTCTGCTCAACTAGTACATAGCATTGATGAGTTCATATTGCAAGCTAAGGACTTTGAGATTGTGAACTTACTGATCTAGGTGTTGAATCCTTCTTCAGGACTTTAAACTGAATCAAATAGTTTAGTTTACATCAAACAAACTTAACCAATCTATATATATTCCCCAATTAAACCGAAACCCACAAGAAGGAAGGACACTCCTTGGAACAGAAGAACACAGAAATGAACCCCCAATCCTGACAAAAGACTTCTTCCTGCTGCGACAAGAAATAACAGAGCAAAAGCCAACTCTTGCTTACACACTCTTCTGCTCTTTTTAACTCGAGTAACGGGTTTCTCTTCCTCATCGATCTTCTTCAGTTTCATCAGTTCCAACACTATACTCTCTGAAGCTCTTCTCTGTAGTCTTGTATGGTTTAAATCCTTCAACTTTGTTGCTTCTGACGACCGACCAGCTTTCTTAGTAACAATCCATTCATAAGAACTCCCCATTTGAAGTAAACCGCTGAATATGGCATTGAATCTGGTTACCGACATTGTGTTCTCAAAGAGGAGATATGGGATGACGAAAGGAAACGATCGAGGTGAAGAGAGGATACTAAGAAAGGACATGCATATTGGTGCGTAGAAAATGATCCATACAGGAAGTTGAGCTTCTGGTATAAACATAGTTAAAGGTAGGATAATGCAAAGTAATGTGAAGGAATAGAATGGAAGAATTAGCTTTCGAAGAAGGAAAAAGAGCAGGATCAGGTTTGCTTTCTTCCATATTGGTATCTGCAGTCAAAAATAAAGGTTGACAATATGTAACTTCAAAATATGACATGTTAAATTTCTTAAATGTAAAAATCTATTTTTGGAAGTTTAGGTGAAATTGGAAGTTTGACTTATGGTTCATGTAGAGCCAGTAATGTGATTTATTTATCTCCAGACATATAAACCTAGGGGAGATTTGGAAATAGTGTTGATGGTTTTCTTTTATGAACTTATGTAACATAATATGGATGGTGTGTTTGTCAACTTCACACTAATTCGTTAAACCAAGATAAAGACGGTTCAAAGATAACCTAGATACGAGCCTCTTTTTTGAACAAAAAAGAACTAGTTCAATATTGTACAAGCTTTTGTCAAACACATTATAAATCCTTATCCAAGTTAACACCCTTATCCAAGTTAGCGAAGGAGTTGTGAGTTGCAAGAATTGTAAATTGGGCCAAGCTTTATATTGTTTCATTCATTCAAATAGTTGACAGGTTCGAATTTTTGAAGTTGGTTCATTTTTTTGAACATATCATACTCCATTTAAAAGCATGAGTTCCAGTAAAGCTTCCTATAGACAATATTATCCTTTACTATGTTAAATATTTTATTTAAATCTTAATATATCCTCATGATAATTATATCATGTCCTAATACCATGTGAACTATCTATAGCTCAACAATTTTAAAAAATAATATTAATTAAAATTTGCTGCTAACAATTTAACTTAAGAAACACCATCAAAAATTTAAATTATAAACAAGCACCGTGAAATTCTAATACTTTAAAACTTGCAAGAAACATAGATGAATTTAAGGGATTACCATGATGCACCTAAAAATTTCTGAAGTTTCAAAATTTAAAACAACAAACATGAAATCAAGAAATTAACAATAGCATCTGAAGAATTTAAACGTTGCAATTAACACCCTCAATCTCTCAATAATTATAGAAATATCCTTAAAAGTTCAAATTACAAAAAAGCATCCTAAAATTCTAAAATTTTAAAATTTACAAACAACAAAGATGAATTCAAGACATTACCCTCGAGCACCTAAAATTTTAAAATTTGTTAAAAGTAACTTCAAAGTTACAAAAATTATTAAAAAAACTCTTTCAAAATTTAAAAATCACAAAAGTTATAAAATTTTAAAATTTATAACCAGTATACATTAAATCTGAAAACTATTGGCAAACCGTCGAAATCTAAATTTTTAAAAAATTACCTAAAGTTTTAATAATTGTAAAAAATACCCTCAAAATTTTAGAGTTACAAAAAATATCCTAATATTTGAAAATTACCACCGATAAATGAAACAGAGAAGTTACAACTACCAAACTTAAAAATATTTTTTTTAAAAACACTCTCAAAGGTCTAAAAATCACAAATTGCACCCTCAAAGTTCAAAGCCACAAAAGGAGCTGAAATCTCAAAACTAGGCAAAGAAAATGTAATTGTTCGGTATTCTTTTATTAAATATATATTTAATTTCTAATTTGTTATTATCCCTTCTCAACATCTACAAATTGTCTAAATTGATGTTGGTAAACAAAAACAATAAGAATTGATTGAAAACATCTAGCTAAGAAATAAAAATTTTAAAAATATATGATGGCTTAAAATTTATTGTTACCATATAAATCAAAGTAACTGCATATAATTTTTACTAATAAGTTGGAGCAGTAAAAATACATAAATAATATTAATTGATAGAAGTTTAAATTCATAAAAATGATAAAAGCCTATAATATAATAGCATAACATTAATTGGTTATGAATTAAAAATAGTAATCTCTCACCTCAAAGAAAAACATTAATCTCTGATGTTAATAATATTTATAGGGAAAAGAACGCAAAAAAAATATGTACAGAGAAACTATCAAAATGTTTAAAGGTATCATTTAAAGAATCATGATATTTTCATTGCAAATGGAACATAAGGCATATCTATCAAAGAAGCACTGACTGAGAAAAATAATTTAACAATTTTGTCTCAATCAAAGAAAAATTCTTCATAGAAGATACAAAAAAATTAGCAAGTATTCATAAATTTCATACTTTGTTCTTCAAATATTAAATAATTTAAATAATGATATTATAATCTAAGGCAAATTGGAAATAAAAAATGAAGATATTTAGTTCAAATCTTTGTGGAAAATGACGGGGATAGAGCAAAGATAACATTATTGACATAACATAAACTTTTATTGTATGCACATTAGAAGAATTCATAGTAGAGAAAAAAAGAGGTATCTCCTAATCTTATTTAAGTAATAAATTAGGAACACAAAGAATTTCATATATATGAAATTCAAATTTATTCTCATTGAATTGGGAAAAAAAATCAAAGTCTGTATTTTAAGAGGTTTGTGTTAAATGTTGAAAATACATTCAACTTCTCTGTGAAGTTAAACGAGAAGATAAAATGTTAATGAGCCCAAGAAAGATAACAGCATAAAAAAAATAACTCTTTCCTCGGTGTCATAATCGATGTAGATGATGAAGACACTACTCTAGAATTGCCCAGGAAAAATTAAAGGTGAAGAATGATTGATCTCAGCTCAATAAAAAATTAAAACAGAAGGAATAAAAGGTAATATTTTCTCAATATTTTATAGAATAGTTTAATCGTTTTGAGTGAAATTAAGAATCTTTAGAAGCGAGTTTCATGAACTTTTTCAGTACTTTTATATGCTTATGTAGATGCTTTTATTGTATAAAAGTTTATTAGAATTAGTATTAATCTAAAGTTTATAATTTTTATGAAGTTTATCAATGATTAGGAACAAACTTTATATTCTCTTTTGTATTATTTTAGCATAATTTTAATCAATCATCTCCCCTTATTGATTTTAAATATTAATCTTGTTTGTATAACACTATTTCAATGTTTTTCACTTTTGTAACACTGTACTTTCTCAAGTCAAGCTTGGTTTTATATCAATCTAAATAATATGAAAGTTCAAATTGGTTTCATATTATATTTATTTTCTCTCAATTTAATTATCAACATAAAAATTTAAATTGGGTGTAGCACATTTAAATAAACATCAAAGAAAATAAATAATCGTAATGTTAAAGTTTTAAGACAAAACTGAGCAAAAACTATTAAAGTGGAACTGAGGAACAAATTTTAGTTAGGAAATAAGCCAAAAATACTTAATCATGGTATTTATTATGTGCATTGTACGTGTATAAAACCTAGTTTTAAATATATGTTCAAATCATTTAAGTAGTAAATTATTCAGAATCACAACTTGTTATAATAATGAACTACATATAGGTTCACCATATTTTCCTAATTCCTAATTCCTACCTGTTAGTAATTTTGAGAATGTCCAAGGACAGTCGTTCGCACCACTAGATTAAGAAATATAGTTCCTATTCTTTGCGTCTGCATTATGAGATTAAGCTCAAACGTTTTTCCTTTCGCACCACTAGATTTCAGAAATATAGTTCCTATTCCATGTAATATATTTTGAATTTGCAGATCATAATGGAATTGGAAAATTCACTCCCAAGGTTATTGCATGTATTTATGCATTACTAGATTTAAGCTCAAAAGGTTTTCCTTTCCACCACTAGATTTAAGACATTTCCTTGCTGTTAGGCCTTGGATTCACATATTAGAATATTAAGTGCAAATTTGATTTACAAGGTCTCCATATAGTACTGCACAATTACAATTATGCAGAAACTTCCTAGCTTGCACTACCAGATTCAAGAAACATAGTTCCTTTCGCGTGTCAGATTTTGAATACAGATCAAAATATTAGTCGAAATTTTCTTAGTCAAAAGGTCTGACATGTAATTTTGCGCTACTATGTTTAAAACTAAACGATTCTTTTTTATTTTGAACTACAACACTTCAGAAACCTCATTCATGTTGCCTTTTATTCTTTTCAAAGTTTGAATATCAGAATAAAGACGCAAATTTGGGGTTATAAAACTCGACGCACCTTTGAGGTTGTAACATCTGCAAGACACAAGCGAAATAAATTCATTGGGCCAGAATGCCAGTGGTATTGCTGCTTTCGGTAAGCCTCATAAGACGCTGGAGCTTCACACAGAACCTTGTAAAATCATCCAACAAAATATTAATAAATGCTATGAAGAAAAACAAGGGGAAAAGGAAAAGGAACCATACATATATTTGTGTATATATCAGATACCTTAACATCATTAAGGAACATAAATTTCCAACCATTTAGATGTGCACGAACTGCGATATCCATGTCCTCTACGGTTGTTCTATCGAGCCAGCCTCCAGAATCCTCCAACGCTTTGATTCTCCAAACACCGGCAGTCCCATTGAACCCAAAGAAATTGAGGAAAACCCCATTAACCTGCTGCTCCATTTCAAAGTGAAAGCACATATTGATGTTTTGAAGTTGTGTCATAAGATTCTCATCTTTGTTCACAAACTTCCACCGTGCCTGAACTAACCCGAGCTCTGGATTTCCCTGTATTAGATTTCAAATATGTTAGCTAAAATATAAAGAAGACCAGATAAGTTGAGTTTTGTTACCTTAAAATGTGGAATTGTTTGCTTAAGGAAATCAGGGCTAGGTTGGAAGTCAGCATAAAGAATGGCGACAAACTCATAGTTCTTAACATAGTCGTATCTCATAGCAGATTGAAGGTTGCCAGCTTTATAGCCTGTTCTCACTAACCGATTATGATATATAATTTTGGTGCCAAATTTTCTCCATTTTGAGACCTCCTCTTTGAGTAAAAGCATTAACATGTCATCATCAGAGTCATCGAGCACTTGAATCAACAAACGATCTTTAGGCCAATCAAGTTGACAGACAGCTGAAATTGATTGCTTATACACCTACAAATAAAATAACAGAATAATTCACTGAAATCAGAATGATGGAACAAAATTTATCAGTAAGTTGAGTTTCTTACCTCTTTTTCATTGCACATTGGAATCTGAACTAGAACCATTGGGTACTCCTCACTTAATGAAAAATCTTGTAGTCTCGGTTTGATATCTCTGAATTTGATCCAAAACCACCCAATGCACAAAGCCAACTTATCAACCGACTGTATAATGAATAGAATGATACAAAAATTCGAAATACATTGAACCGGATAAGCAATGTAATTAGCTCTGAAAAAGATCCAATAAAGATATGCAGAATGCATCCATCCTTGAGTTTCTGTAGTTTCTAAAAATTGCCAGCCATTCCAATAAGCAACCATGTCGAAAGAAAGAAGCACAAAACATAGCACTAAGAATCCTCTGATGAATTTAAACAGAAAATTTTCCTTGAATTGGTTCTCGATTGCATTGATCACTGAACAAAGAGCTTTTGCTATCAAACCGATACACTTCATGGCATACTGAGCTTTTAGGAGGAAAACCCATGTGAGCTGCTTTGCATTCTTCTTGAAGCTCTTGTCCGTGGATTTGAATGTCATGGTGATACAAAACTAGAGGTTTCAAAGTAAAGGAATGAGAACTTGGCTTTTAAGCTTGAAGCTTGCTACATTGGAGTGCTTTAGTATTCTAAGCCTCAATGGAGCTGACTGAAGCAAGAGTTGAAGAAAAGCAAGCAGGGGTTTAGGGTTTTAGTCTTCAACTACAATAACATGTCCACATGTGCTTTTGTAAATAGCATTTGCCAAAAAAAGTCATCTGAAGTTGCTATAAGCATCTTTTTCTTTCACAAGGAATTTTGCAGATTTTTACTAAACGGGATAGATGTTATATTCTGTTCTAATCACCATCTCTAAATATGTATATTTTGAGCTAAGAATGAAACAAGAAAAATGTTATAGATGTATTCAATATGGAATATATAAAGTTATAAAAAATTTAAGAGAGAAGGAACAGGAAGTTGAAAAGGAAGGGAGGAAAATTTGCAAAATAGACCGTTTTTATAAAGTAATTAGCGAAATAGACCGTTTTTAAAAATAATTAGCAAAATAGACCGTTTTTTGGCAAAAGAGGTCGATTTTGAAAAAAGGTTCAGAAAACATACGGGACTACTAGTCCCGTATGTTTAATCTCACTCAAAAAATATACAGGACTACTAGTCCCGTATATTTTCTGTTTGTTAACAAAACATACGGGACTAGTAGTCCCATATGTTTTCTGAACCCTTTTTCAAAATCGACCTCTTTTGCCAAAAAACGGTCTATTTTGCTAATTACTTTAAAAAACGGTTTATTTCGCTAATTACTTTATAAAAACGGTCTATTTTGCAAATTTTCCCCATTAAGAAAATATGAATGATTGGTTTTAAAAACCAAAGATTAGTACATATTTTTCAGATATTGCATTTGGTGAATGGCCTTGAACTAAGGAGACAGTATTTACTTACCAACCACTTGCCTTTTTTCTTCTTTTTACATAATCATAAAATATTTTCTCTCTATTTCTGATCTTTCATTAAAGAAGAGTACACATCATATCAGAATGCGTTGCACGGTACGGAGCATTCTGAACCATATATTTTGGAGGGATGAGGGTCATAATGGTAACTTTTACTCCCCCTCTACAGTGTTGTGATATGACGTCTAGTCCCCAAAGAATTTGATCCATTATTTTCTATCAGAAACAAAAAAAAAACAAAGGAATAGTTCTATCTTAGGCGCAATAATATGTACTAATCTTAAAAAACAAGCTACATATGGCAATAAAAACGTCAATAAATTAAATTATTTGATGTAGCGATAAGAGTCCTTGTACGTATGAGAGTCAAACGAAGCAAGAGATTACTCGGTCTCTTGCATGCAACAAACAAGATTATTAGAGAATAGATGATATTAGCTGGAGATGCGTCAAACTTGGATCAAACCCAGCTAGATTCCCTTTACTATTCATTCGTGTTTATTTTAAGGCTACTTTTGTCGCCACACTTAATTGCATTTCACTTTTTTTAACATGCAATTAGCTGTTGAAGCATTGGAGTTTGAACAGAATCCAGCACAGCTAAAAACCTCTCTGGATTCTGATACAACTTCAGGTGACATCTCACTGAAATTTCAGCAAACTTCATATTGGTTATGTCTGTTATTTTTCTGATTCTGGGGACATTTATCATATATGAATCTAGCTGCTTAGTAATTAGGAACATGGATCCAAATACAAATATGATTATTTAGCAATGTGGAATTTATATCAATATCCGTCGATCCTGCGGTATGTGGATATAGCTCTGATATGAGTGTTGGATATCAGTTTTCCTAATCTATTTTGGTAACATGAGGTTATTAGGGTTCCTAATCTATTTTGGTAACATGAGGTTGTTAGGATTCCTAATCTATTTTGGTAACATGAGATTATTAGGAATCCTAATTTGTTTTGTTTTTGGTTTTAGGATTCCTAGTAGGGCCGTAACTTGAAAACCGATAACCAAAAAAATAACCACACCAAAGCCGAACCATAACCGAAAATACCGAGGAAAGAAAAAAACCGCACCAAACCGCAAAAATATAACCGAAAACCGAAAGGTTTGGTGTGGTTTTGGTTTTGGATGTCTGGAAACCGAAACCGAACCGAAAAACCGATTATATATACTGTAAGGAAATTATATTATTTATAGATATATATTATTAATATACATAAAATTTTATGTAGAAACTTCAAACTTGGGCTTAAATGAAGCCCAAAAAAAAGGATGGCCTTGGCTTGCGTTCCAACATTACTACATAGTCTACATTAGACTTTAATTATATTTCTAGGGCTTCTGAGAATATGAGTTCTCGTCCATCGCCCCCAAAGTCCCAAACCCAACGAGCTTTTGGTCCTTCGCGCTACGTCTCGTCCCCTCTCATCCATCGCCCCAAAATCTAGGGTTCTCCCGTCCATCGGCCCCAAATCTTGGGTTCTCTCGTCACCGGCGAAGAAATCCCTTCTGTCACGTGGTACTGTAGCTTTCCCTTTCCCCAAATGTTGGTCATGGAGGAGCTTGCTGCTGAACTTGAAGTGCTGATCTATCATCTACATGTTTCTGCTATTCTAGTTTTTCATCGCTTTTTTTTCTTTTCGAAAATTGTTATGTGGCATTGTGGGCTGCCCTTTTTCATTTTTTTTTTTCTTTTCTTTTCTTTTCGGAAACGGTTATGTAATATGAGACATTTCTACTTTCTACTTTTCTAGACTTGTTTTCTTTATAGAATAACCAAAAAAACTGATATAAACCAGAGAAAAACTAAACCAAACTAAACCGAACACAATTGGTTTATGAAAAAATAAGTGAAAAACCAAACCGAATCGAACCGAACCGAAAAAAATAGATCGGTTTGGTGTTCGGTGTCACCTATTAACCGCACCATTCAAACCGATTAACAGCCCTAATAGTCTGTTTTGGTTTTAGTTTTTCTATATATATGGAGATTAGAATCAATCATCAAAAGAGAGGAGAGTTATAATCAGAGATTAGAGAGACTTTTGAGCATTGTGAGGGAGATATTGTGAGCAAGTTGAGAGCTTTGGTTGAGCGTTAGTTTGTGAGTTTTGTGAGATTGTAACCTTTTGTACTCTCCTTGATTTAGTAGAATCTCCCACATCCTCTCCCCGTGAACGTAGGCAATTTGCCGAATCACGTAAAATTAGTTTGTCTTACTTTTGTGTGATTTGTAATAGCTTATTTAGGTTCCATCGACAGGTCAGTCCTAGAACTGATGAGAGGAAGAACTGATATCCTACTTTGTTGAGATATTTTGCTTAAGGTTCTTATTTTTTTTTATGAAACAGGAATTTCTATTGCGACTTGACTCCCTTGTTGTGCTGCCGAGGTGCTGCCGAAATTTCCGCTGCGCGCAACAAGTGGTATCAGAACCCAAATTTTAGATCTAGGGTTTTAGCATTAGGTGGAGGAAGATTTGTCGTGGAAGCTTGGTTCTTAGAGTTCTAGGCTTCGGTGGAGATAGGATTTGAAGTTGCCGTTGGAGATCTCGCCTTCCTCTTGTGGTTAGGAGTTCTATTTGGAATCTAATCTAGGGTTCAATTGGGTAATTTCTTATTTCTTTCAAAGTTTGAATCTTTCTTTGCAATTTAGAGTTAGTTTGCAATGGGAGAAGAAGGTGAAAGCAGCAAGTCGATGGCGAGTACAGTTCAAATTGGTTTTTAGAACACCAAAATTAGTATGATGAAGTATGACGGTAAAATCAACTTTGGTTTGTGGATGAGCGACGTACATGATGCGCTCAATGCTCAGAACTTGGAGGAGACCATCATGATCCACGAGAGACCACCAAAATATGAAGAGGCGATATGGGATAAGATGAATAGGAACGCTTGTGGGGTGATCAGGTCCTGTTTGGAATAGAAGCTGAAGTATGATGTGATTGGGGTGACGTCTACGATGAAAATGTGGGAAATTCTTAATAATAAGTACCTTACGAAGAGGATTGAGAACAGGTTGTATTTGCTGCAAAGATTGTTCAGATTTTAGATGTCCCGAGGCACCTCACTAGCGGCTCATGTGAACAACTACACTAAGTTATTGTCGAACTTGGCGAATGTTGATGAGAAGATATCGAATGAGTACAAGGCTATTATCTTATTAGGCTCCTTACCCGATAAGGAGTACGACACCTTTGTGCTCACTTTGTTGAATGGGAGATCTTCTATTAGCTATAGTGAAGTTACTAATGCATTGACGAATTATGATTTAAGGAGGAAGGATAAGGAGACTTCTCGTGCTAGTACTTCAGGCGAGGCCTTGTCGACGAGAGGTAAAAGCCTATATCCGTAATAGATGAAGGTCAAAGTCTAGAGGTCGTCAGTAGATAGGAAAGAACCAATGTGCATTCTGCAAGGAGCAGAGACATTAGAAAAGAGATTGTCCAAAGATCAAAAAGAAGAAGAATAGCAAGAACAAGGGCCCGAAGGCCAATGAGGTGAACGTTGCGAAAGGCGATGATTCCGATGATTCGAGCTTTTCTCTATTGATTACTCCGGAGGTGAACCACTTGGATGCATCAGATTGGATGCTTGATTCCGACGCTACCTATCATGTGACTCCTATGTGAGATTGGTTTGCATCTTTTGAGAAGCTCGATGGGGGAGTTGTAGTCATGGGAAATGATCAGTCCTGTGACATTTATAGGATAGGTACTGTGCGGATTCGGATGCATGATGGAGTAGTTCGTGAATTGAAAGAGGTGAGATTTGTTCCTCAGCTGAAGAAGAATCTTATCTCAGTTAGAGCTTTGGAGGCAAAGGGATTCAATGTGACTTTTAAAGATGCTGTAGGAAAGGTTACTAAGGGATCTTTGGTGATGATGAAGGGAGTCCACAGTCAAAATTTGTATTATCTAAAGGGGAGCATCGAAATTGGCTAGGTAGCTTCAGCTATTTCAGAGGCGGACATGAGTAGGCTTTGGTATTACAGGTTAGGGCACACAGGAGAGAAGTTATTGCAGGCTTTGTGCAAGCAAGGGCTATTGAAGGGAGCCAAGAGTGGTAAAGTGGAATTCTGTGAGTACTGTGTTCTTCAAGAAGACAAAGGTAAAGTTCGGGATGGCCATTCATAGGACAATGGGCATCCTGGACTACGTGCACACAGACGTTTAGGGTCCCACCAAGACTACATCACTTGGTGGTCGATATTGATTCGTCACGTTCGTTGATGACTATTCTAGGTGATGTTGGGTGTACACCATGACAAAGAATAGTGAAGTCCTAGATATATTCGTAGAGTGGAAGAAGAGGTTGGAACTGCAGACTGGGAGAAAGATCAAGACGTTGCGATCCGATAACGGCGGCGAGTACACATCATACCCCTTTCTGCAGCTATGTTGAGACGAGGGCATAGAAAGGAACTTCATGGTTAGTCATACACCGTAGCAGAATGGGGTGGCAGAGAGGCTAAATCGGTCTTTGTTGGAGAAGGTCCGATGTTTATTATCGCAGAGTGGTTTGGAGAAAATCTTTTGGGCTGAGACACTTACATATGCGAGCCACCTTATTAATAGGCTGCCTTCATCTGCGATTGAGGGGAAAACCCCTATGAAGATGTGGTCGGGAGAGTCAGCACGAGATTATGACCAGTTTAAGGTATTCGGGTGCCCTGTATTTTATCATGTGAGAACAGATAAATTAGAACCTCGAGCTAGGAAGACCATATTTGTAGGATTCAAGCGTGGTGTCAAGGGATACAAGATTTGGGATCCAGTTGATAAGAAGATTGTGCTGAGTAGGGACGTCACGTTTGATGATGCTTCTATCTTGAAGCTTCCCAACTCTCATCAGGTGAAGAGCGACCTGACGGAGGAGATATCGCATGTGGAGGAGATCGATGCAGCTCCACATTATCCAGATGGTACAGTATTCATTAGAGTGCCAACTGAGGTAATGTCAGGCGAGCACGACGGTGACACGGAGGATACGGGTACTGATGTGCAGGATCAGGGACCGACGGCTCAAGTTTAGGATTCTATTATGGTTCATAGACAGAGGAGAGACATACGGGTATCAGCACGGTATGCCGACACAGTTGCGTATGCACTTCCGGTGGAGAGTATCGATGAGATGGTGCCTACTACATTCAGAGAGGCCGAGCAGAGTTCGGAGGCTGATTCGTGGCAGGTAGCTATGCAGGAGGAGATGAAGTCTCTTCATAAGAACGATACATGGGAGCTGGTGGAGCTTCCAAATGGGCGGAAGGCAATTGGTTGCAAGTGGGTATACACGAAGAAGGAGGGCATTGAGGGTACTCCATTGAGGTTCAAAGCTAGGTTGGTTGCGAAGGGCTATGCACAGGAGGAATATATTGACTATAATGAGGTTTTCTCTCCGGTGGTGAAGCACTCTTCGATTCGGATTTTGCTACCTTTGGTGGCAGAGTATGGTTTGGAGTTAGATCAGTTAGATGTGAAGACGACATTTCTTCATGGTGATCTTGATGAAGAAATATATATGACTCAGTCATTGGGATTCCGAACTGTAGGAAAAGAAAAATTGGTTTGCATATTGAAGAAATCACTATACGGTTTGAAGCAGTCTCCTCGATAATGGTATAGGCGATTCGATGGTTTTATGATTGGTCATTCGTACACTCGGAGCCAGTTTGATCCTTGCATATATTTTCGCAAGTTAAAAGGAGGTGCGTACATCTATTTATTACTTTATGTTGATGACATGTTGGTTGCCTCTATTTTCAGATCTGCTATAGATAAGTTGAAGACACAGCTTTCAAAGGAGTTTGAGATGAAGGATTTGGGTAAGGCGAAGCGCATTTTAGGGATGGAGATCAGCAGGGCAGAATTTGTTTGACACAGGTGGCTTATTTGAAGAAGGTTCTACAGCGATTTCATGTTAGCATGGATACGAAGCCAATTAGTGTACCATTGGGAGCCCATTTGAAGCTTTCAGCTGGACTTTCACTGAAGTCAGTTGAAGATCGAGAGTTGATGTTGAGAACTCCATATGCGAGCGCAGTTGGGAGCTTGATGAATGCGATGGTATGTACGAGGCCGGATTTATCACAGGCGGTGAGCATGGTTTTGAGATACATGCACGATCCAGGAGTGGGTCATTCGGACGCCGTGAGATGGATTTTAAGGTGCATTCGAGGTACGCTTAATGTTGGTAGTTTATGAGCGGGACACTACAGGTGGGTAGTTATGCATTGGCTATGTTGATTCGGATTATACCGGGGATTTGGATAAGCGTTGGTCTACGACGGGGTATGTGTTTACTTTGACCCGTGCGTCGGTGTGTTGGAGATGCACCTTACAGTCGACGGTGGCTTTGTCTACGACGGAGGCAGAGTATATGGTAGTTACGGAGGCTGTGAAGGATGCTATTTGGCTTCGAGGACTTTTGGAGGAACTTGGTATATCACAGCGGTCCGTCACCATTCATTGTGATAGCATGAGTGCTATCTATTTGGCGAAGAATCAGGTTTTTCATGCGAGGACGAAGCATATTGACGTTCGTTATCACTTCGTTCGAGATGTTCTTAAAGATGGAGATGTGGAGATAGTGAAGGTCCACACGAAGGATAATCCGGCGAATATGCTCACTAAGGTGGTTCCGAGCAACAAGTTTGATCATTATCGAAATTTGTTGCACATTCGTGATTGTTGAGGCCGTTGACGGTCATATGAATGAACTACGAGTGGTTTGATCCCTTAGGAGAGGGGGTACATAGGCAACCACATTGGTACAGCCGAATTTGGTGAGACGACGCATTGGTGCTCATGTTGGTGTCGGCTCAGTTTTGGGAATACTTCGCCGAGGTGGAGAATTGTTGGATAGCAGTTTTCCTAATCTATTTTGGTAAGATGAGGTTATTAGGATTCCTAATCTATTTTGGTAACATGAGGTTGTTAGGATTCCTAATCTATTTTGGTAACATGAGGTTATTAGGATTCCTAATTTGTTTTGTTTTTTTGTTTTAGGATTCCTAGTCTGTTTTGGTTTTAGTTTTTTTATATATATGGAGATTAGAGTCAATCAGCAAAAGAGAGGAGAGTTATAATCAGAGATTAGAGAGACTTTTGAGCATTATGAGAGGGAGATATTGTGAGCAAGTTAAGAGCTTTGATTGAGGGTTAGTTTGTGAGTTTTGTGAGATTGTAACCCTTTGTACTCTCCTTGATTTAGTGGAATCTCCCCATCCTCTCCCCGTGGACGTAGGCAATTTGCCAAACCACGTAAAATTAGTTTACCTCGCTTTTGTGTTATTTGTAATAGGTTATTTAGGTTCCCTCGACAGGTCAGTCCTAGAACTGATGAGAGGAAGAGCTGATATCCCACTTTGTTAAGATATTTGCTTAAGGTTCTTGTTTCCTTTGTGAAACAGGAATTCCTATTACGACTTGACTCTCTTGTTGTGCTGCCGAGGTGCTGCCGAAATTTCCGCTGCACGCAACATTGAGAAGTATCATAATACATATTGGATAGGAGAGAAACATGAAAGACTTAAAAGTAAGTCCTACATGTTATCCATATTTATATCCTTATTCAATAAAAAGTAAAGGTGGTTTAGCATATACGCCCACTAAGATCATCCAGTTATGCAAAGTTGTTACCAAATCTCAGTATTTACAAAACTATCCCTAATTCTTCAACGTCGGAAAAATACCTCTCATTTAACTCTATTATCATATATCTTAAATTAGTCCCTCTAACCATTAGAAAGTTATGGCGAGGGCCGAGGATTATAATTTTATATTAATTCTAACATGCTCTCGCAGGTTGAACGCCTTTTTTATGGGCTAAAACCTGGACTCACACTGTATCAATTTTTAAAAAATCTGCTTAAAATTCATGGTTGGTGGAACTTAAACTTGGTTTGTTCTGCTATCATCTTAAATTTAGTCCTTCTAGTCATTAGACCAAAATTCTGAAGCTATGGTGAGGATGCAGAATTATAGTTTAGAATTAACGGTAATATTTTTTTAAAATCGACGTTAAATTCGTATCCAGTAAGATTCGAACCTAATTGCTCTGATACATTCTTAAATTAGTCTCTCTCACCATTATACAAAAACTCTAAAGTTATGATAAAGATCGAGGATTATAATTTTATATTAATTCTAACATAATACTGCCTCCCGACCGAGCTCTCAATTTACTGATCATCTTCTCCTGATAGAAAGTGTGTTGGGTTGCATGTGTTGTCACCGTGTTTGTTGGCAATCTTGGGTACTATTACAAGGTCTGAGATTTGGGGATTACTACAAATATGGAGTTTAATGGTCATATATCGAAAAAAATTAAAAAAAAAATCCAAAATAAAATTGTTATCCGCATCCCTGTTCACTTTGGGCCTGATACGGATAATACACGTATCTGATAGGTTATGGACACATACGTAGCTCTGCATATCAATATCCATTTGCATCCCCTACGCAGAAGCCATGAATAATCTATATCATTACAGTAAGGGCATCACAAACTTAATTATCTCAAAAACCTCACTCTTCTTGTTTCATATTCCAAACATCACTTTACTAATACTAACAGAGCGCCGGCTGTTACGCTTGCAACAACTAAATCACCATGTCAACAGTTACATTTGTGTAAGAAACTGATGCAATCTTGAAAGAGGGGGGGAAGAAAGAAAACAGATATCACAACACATCTGCTTGTATCTCAATATGCACACGAATACATACATGTAAAATGATTATACAACACAAATTACTTCTGTAATCCTATAAATGCTCTCATACAATAAAGTAATATTTCTATACCTAGTCGTAACCCTCAGCAGAGAAATCAGGTTCATCTGGCTTCTGCAATTTCGGCAAGTCCTTCATCTTCTGAGCTCCCACTCTCGTACTTGCTGCGAATTTCGATGCAAGCATCATCGCTCCAAAATGTTTTGTCTGCTGAGAAGTATTCGGTACCGAGCTTGACCTACTAATATCTTCAAGCCCCGACTCCTCATTCGACTGCTCATCAGAAATTGATGAAGCAAAAGACGCAGAAGCAGACAACTGCCTCATTCTCAAATCCTTCGCCATTTTCCTTCTTTTAAACCGTCTCCAAGCTGCTTGAATAAAACAAGCAGCCCAAGTCCTCCAATGATGAGAATAAAACCGAAATGTGTGTTGAAGTTTCTTGCTGTGAAGTCTACGAAATTGGTTCGCGACAAACTTGAGATCTTCAGCACGGAGTGCAAAGGCTTCAACTTCAACTAGGGCTCTAACAGTTCGAGTTGAGGTTGGAAGGTTGACGGTGGATTTAGGGAGTAGGGCCCACGCTAAGAGCTCCTCCCCGCAAAAATCACCAGGACGAAGGGTAATGGAGTTGAAGAAGCCGGTTCGGCCACCGTTGGTTGTGGAGCTCTCGAGTCGTCCACGGATGACGAAGAGCATCTCGGTTACTGGGTCCCCCTCACGGACGATGTAAGTTCCTTCGGTGCTTAAGGAGGAGACTAGACGCTCGCAGATTGCATCGAGGAGTTGGTCGTCCATTTGGGAGAAGAATGGTACCTGAAATGGGAATGAATTGGTTGGTTTACTGAATAAATAGATTTATAGAAGGTTTGATATATTTAAAGTAAGCCAATTGAATGGAAATTTTGGTCTTTGCTTGAAGGTCATACCTGCAACTTTTCAGGATTGCACAGGTTTTTCCAATTATTGCTATCATTCTATATTAACTTTCATCTCTTGTGAGCTATTTGTTCGTTTGTGAAGCCTGGACATGGAGAATACTTAGCACCAGGAATCACAATTGAACCTGTACAGAATTGCACCCCCAATGCAGCAGGGCCCTATGAAGCAAAATATAGTTGGCGATTGTATGGTGAGGACATTTTAGTGTTTTCTGCCCTATAGACAGAAACTCTCTGCTGTAAAATATGTCAGCCAACTAGGGGTGCTAAACCATATCCATGTCCGAGGAATTATCTGTAACCATGTCCGTTAGGATACGGATATGGTTACTCAAATCTATAACCAACAGGACATGGTTACGAATATGGTTTTGTAGTGAAATATTTGGATCCGTATCCGAAATATCTGAATACATATTAGTCATACTATTATAATACTTAGATTACGTAATTGAGGTTAATTTTGATGATTAAGATGTCTAATCTTAGCTTTTTATAATGAACATACTAATGAACTCTTTTGTATCACGAGCTATATTATTTTCAGTATAATCCAGTTTTCTCATATCCATTTTGTATCCGCTTATATATCAGCATGTATATCCGCATCCATATCCGATTTTAGCCGATATAGATATGAATTTTCCTTACCGAGATATATCTATATCTATATCCATACCCGTGATGGATAAGCGGGTATGGATAAGGTAAGCATCATATCCGAGCCGTATCCAAACCTAATGCACCCCTACAGCCAACTCTTCTTTTCACATTTTTCCATTCAACTCTCTTATTTTTAGAAAACATTACTAAAGAATATGAACTGATCATTTGTTTTTGCACATTTTTCTGTCGTCCAAGCTAGAGTAGGAATCCCATAACCGCATATTAGCAATGGCATCTATGGGAAAATTTTAGAGTTGCAATTTTGGGTGAATATCTCTAAGAAGAGAAGTATCAAGATAGACTTGTCCCTTGGTTGATCACAGGTCACTAGGTTCTCAAACTCCAGTACCTCGTAAAATTTATGACCTATTCATCTGCTTTCAGGCAATTTTCTAACTAATGTTTTATTTATGTTCACTTTTCATCACTCGAAAAATAAAAATAAAAGAATAATGAGTTAATCTCAAACATATGATGCATACTTTCGACAAAAAACTTTTCAGTAAAGAGTTTATATTCCACTGAGATATGTTCCTTATTACTGGTGGACTATATATATGATATTACAACCAGGTGTTGAATGGAGTAATGCAAGTGCAATAAACTTGTAGCCAATTCAGTTTCTTTAAAAAGATACAGGCTTCACAGTTGCCAATATGAGTCACACGTTTCAGCAAAGAATCAAAACATATATCAGAATAAAATGTGGTGAAAAATGATGTCCATTTTATGTTACTAATATATAGTAGTGTGTGATTGATTTTAGGCTCAGACATACATATTCTCACCTAGAAAGCAATTTTAATAGCTTGAAATCACACCAGAATTTACTTTTTGAGAAAGAACGCCAAAAATTAATAATTTATATGAGACAAGAAACAGGAAATAATTGGGATGAGACTGGATGACCACTTACCCGTCGAACAAGGTCCAAGCATAGGTGACGTTGGATATCTCGACGAAGGTCTGAAGGTAAAGTCTGTAATATAGCTTCTTCATCCACACCTCTTGTTGCAAGCCACTTGTATTGAACAAAACGCCTGACTCTCGCCCTCAAATCATGAGGAAGTTGTCGATGTCTCATCCATTCCTCAGTGTCTCTTCGCTTCAGTCTCCACTCTTCAAGCCGTACAGTTATAGATTGCAAATATGTCTAAAAGAAATTATACAACTTCATCAGACTAAACAGTTGAGAACATTAGAGAAAACAAGATCAAGAAAATATTGCGCTTCCAAGTTCTACTTTGATCTTAATAGGATTAGAAAAGCATATGCAACTTGATGAACTTATGTCCAACTGGATGGTCTGCCATCTCTCCTATAAGCACATTGATCCCCTAGCAAAACTACTTCCTTCAGTAACATAAATTGTGTTCTTGCAAGTCGAATCATGATGTAAAAATAAAATTTTGAAGAATTCTTTTAGGACGTTTGAGGAGCAGAGAGCAGCGATCATAGACAAGAACCAAGCTCTCTGCATGGACCACATCAAGGTGTCCAGGGATACCTGTCCTTCTTTGTAATTTCCCATCTACGGTATGTTCTTTATGTATTTGTATCGGTATAAGCTTATATACTATGAGAGAAAACAATTGCTTTTATGTATGTGAGATTTTGTGTTATTTGGCACGAGGGTTTGAAAGATGTTCTATAATAGCATTGGCTACTCCTTTGCCCTTTAATATAGTCCAAAGGATGAACCACGATAAATCTTAATGTCTTCTTCTCGTCTCTCCTCTAAATATTTTTGTTGTTGTACTTTGATCAATTTGTTCGTTTCTGGGATTATCTTGTAAAAACTATATTCTTGAATTCTCACGTGTCCTTCTCCAGATGGTTCTCTTGTACTACGTAATTTTCATATGGTTCTATATTGTTCACAGAAGTTAATTGTAGCATGCCCGTAATACATTTACATACATATCCCCCATCCTTGCAGGCACTCTGACAAGATTTGCGATGATTTCAATACATTTTCAATTATTCATCGAAATTGGAAAACAAATTAGCTCATTCAAATATTATAGGAAAACTGGTTCTAAAACAAATTGTTCTAATTCATCATAAACTTAGTAGAAAAGACATTAAGAATTATTAAATTATTAATCGATATTTTCTCTGGATTATGTATCTTTTACCACCTCATTGGACAATGACTATAGCAAATATCATTACCATGATACCTCTACTGCAATTCATGGTATGTTTCTATGTTTACCTTGGTTTATGTATCCCCTTACATCAACTATTATTTATGACATCTACCGCTGGTTAGACTATTGAAAATATCTGTAGGCAATAAAATAAACAATCTTAACTGAAATAAGGTTCTTGATCCAGATATTATTCTCCACAAATATCCTCTCAAATCTAGGACAAGGAACGAAGATTGTGGATTGAGACGGTGTTAAGAATATCTTTACAAACTTCAGAAGGGTAAAACTAATGCTAAATGTTTGATGTCTATATGATCTCAATAGACAAAAAAATCTCAGTGCCTTCTCCATAACTTGAATGTCATGATCAAATCCACTTTAAGGCATTAGCAGTTGGGAGTTATCTTTTGGATGATGATAATAAAAACAAGGGTTAATTTGACCTATGTTGCCTAGATACGGGTACGGGTACGGGACACGGAAAATTTGTAAAAAGTAGGGTACAGGGACACAGATGTATATATATAAAATAATTCACTTTAGATCAATATTGAATTAAATACCTATTACATTTTCATATAAAATAATTCACTTTAGATCAATATTGAATTAAATACCTATTACATTTTCATATTTTTTGTTATGTAAAGTGGAGATTATAAATAAGAAACTAAATGAATTAAATACCTATTACATTTTCATATTTTTTGTTATGTAAAGTGGAGATTATAAATAAGAAACTAAATGTAACTATACTCTTATCTCCTTTTATTATAATGAACAGGGTGTATCCCTTACTTTATTTTCAACAAAAGAAAAAGAAACTAAAGGAAAGTGCATGTTGCAGGTGTGAATTAAGACGTCGGGATGGCAATGATCTCTTGGAGAATTGAAGACAATAATGTTAAAGAAGACAAGAAAGAGAAGATGAACATATAGAAAAATAGATCAATTTTTATGTTATATTATTATGTAACATTGGCTTGTATAATCAATGACAAATGTAAGTTATGTAACTGATTTGAAGATAATACCAAATTCTAATTTTCATTACTTTCATCTTGAGCATACAAAAATATAAGCCTACCTCGCAAAACGAGAGTTAAAAATTACAAGCATACTTTCACAAGTTAGAACTATACCCCAAAATATTACAAGCATCCCTCAAAATATTACAAGTATATTGTTTAAAGTTGCAAATATAATTACCTATACAAATGTAAGCTATTTTTATTTTAATTAACAATTTAGAACTAATATGATTACCTATATAAACAATTTTTAGAACTAATATAATTTTTATTTACAAATGCTACCCATATAAATAGTTAAGAGTGGGTTCTAGGCTAGGGTTTTCACTTTTCCCCTTTGCTCCTATCAGACTCCTCCTCCAAATCTGACTCCCAAGTAGATCGGCTCCTCTCTCCTCCTTCAGATCCGACTCCAAGTGGATTCTAGGGCTAGGGTTTTCATTGTTCTCCTTCGAAGCTTGTCATTCACTCCTCCCTCGAATCTCGTCGTCACTCGGAGCTCGTCGTCGACTCCTCCCTTGAAGCTCGTCGTCAACTCCTCCCTCGAAGCTTGTCGTCAACTCCTCCCTCGAAGCTTGTCGTCCCTTGAAGCTCGCCATCCCTCGAAGATCGTCGTTTACTCCTCCCTCGAAGCTCGGGTACTTTTTTTCCCTCACGCCTTCAATCGCC